GAAAAATACAAAGCCGGTGGTCATAGAGCCAAATTCCGGCGACAAAATCAGAAGAAAAACTGAATTTTCTTGGAAGACTATTTTTGACGTTAGGTAAAGTAAAACTGTGCGTAAGAGCTTAGCATGTCATTGATAAAATAGTATGTCGTGAAATAGTGTGTTAACTAACAACAAATTTTTTTTAAATGTTAAAAATTGTGGATTTATATTTAAAGAACACGATAGTTTACTAAATCTTACTATCACTACACGAACACGATCGTGGGATTTTCTAACCAAATGTGCATTTGACTTTTGTTTGTAGAGATTAGAGAATACCTGTATACAATTTAACGTTCTATTCTAATAAATAAAAAAGGAAAATACTACATTTGACGTGAACGGCTAAAGTAACATTAGTAATGGAATGTATTAACATGAAACGAGATGCGTACTTTCGATAATTAATTATATATTAAATATTATTATGTAGTTAAACCTGCCTTCATCAAAAGAATATTAAGTCAAACATGTTAGAAGAGTACACAATAACAATAAAATTCTGCGTGCTCAATGGATACCGATTTCAAAGAGGTTTTATTCTATCTCGTTTACTTTGGAATTTTTTTAATTATTTTCTAGGAAAAAGTTGCTTGAAGCCTTGAACCATTACATTTAGGATTTAGGAACTAAATTTATTTCTTGTACTTGGTGCATGATTGGTTGGGCTTTAAGTATTGTTTATAGTTTTAGTTTTTCTTAAAGCATCGTTTTGTTACCAATCATGTTAATATTTTTCTTAAAGTTTTAATTTTCTTAAGTTTCAAACCTACACCATTTTTTACTAATCATGTTTTTGCTTTAATTCTCTAAGCTACAGCTTCTTTAATTTTTTTTTAAGTTTCTTTTACTGGAACATGTAAAATCTTACGGCCCCATTTTTAGGGTAGTACAAACTCTTTTTTTTTTAAAACAAATCATGTTATACACTTTTATTATGATTATTTAATTAAAACTTCATAAAAAAAAATTTCGAGAGAAAACAATATATATATGGAAGGATTTTAAAACAAGATTGTGACGAATTTATGGAAAAAGTAAAATCGAAAGTATTATGAATTATTCTGTCAATCACTAAAGTATTTTTATATTTTAGATACATTTACCGAAATTATTTCATTTTAAAATGATGTTTTAAAAAAAAATTAATTGTCCATTTTAAAATAATTTAGAGGTTCATTTTTATTGCATTGAAAATTACATAAAGTTTCTATAAAGTCGATTATTTGTATAATTAGTACAAAACATTTTATTTTCATAAAATTAGTCGATCTAATTAAAACTATAGCACATATCTTATGTTTACCAATCATGTTTATATTTTAAAATAGGTACAGCTACAACATATATATCTACAGCACAAAAATCTGCAACATAATTTTTTTACAGCTACAGCCGATAAACTTACAACAAAAAATATACAGCAATTATTCTACAATTACAGTAATGCTGACATGAAACTATATTACCCTTAATTACAACAACAGTCAATTATTTCTTAATCCACCTATGAAAGCTAAAAAACTTGTTCATTCCATAACTAAAATTTTTCTTTTGTCTATCTCTTTTTTTCTGCTTTTATCAGCATTGTTATTTTCTCTACATACAATATGTGATATGTGTGTCTTGAAACAATTTTTTTAATTTAACATTCATTTAAAAAAAACAATCGCTTAAACATGTTAAACTACTGATTTATTAGATATTTTGTTTTAGGTATTTATTAAAATTGGGTGTAGTTGATGATTTAATGTATACTTCACTGCGACATGTTTATTAATA